ATCGATCGGCAGGCATGAGCAATCGATCGCCGATCTAATCGATCGGCAGGCATGAGCAATCGATCGCCGATCTGATCGATCGACAGGCATGAGCAGTCGATCGCCGATCTAATCGATCGGCAGGCATGAGCAATCGATCGCCGATCTGATCGATCGACAGGCATGAGCAATCACGTGCCGAGCAATCGATCGAGGCATGAGCCATTGAGCGCCGAGTGATTGATCAAGGCAGGGGCAATCGAGCCCAGTGATGGATCAGGGAGGGAGGAGCAACTGCAATCAATAATCGATCGATCACACACACCCGGGGACACTCAGGCACACTTCACTGTCCTCGGCATCTTTAAGGAAATTGAGTTCCCCCTTTTTCTCACTTTTTTTCCCTTTTTATCCTCCTTTTCATTCCCCTACTTTCGTCTTTTTTTCTACTTTTTATCCTTCTTTTTTATTATTTTTTCCACTTTGTTTTTCTCATTTTTCCTCCTTTTTTCCTGCTTTTTTCCTCCTTTTCCCCTTCTTTTTCTTTCTTTTTTCCTCTTTTCTCCTCTCTTCGCTTTGTCTCCTCTTTTTCTTCCCCCCCTTTTACTCTCCCTTTTCTCTCTGTTTTCTTATCGTTTTTCACTCATTCTCCCTTTTCCCTCCTTTCCCCCGTTTTCTCCTTTTCCTTTTTTTCCCATTTCCCCCTACTTTTCTGCTCTCCTTTTCCCTCTTTTTTCTCCCACACTTCCCCCACATTCTCCCTCACTTCCCTGATTTTCCCTCCCCCTTTTTTCCTCCATTCTTCCCTATTTTCTCCCTTCTCCTCAATTTTTTCCTTATTTTCTCCCCCTTTTTCCTCCATTTCACCCCATTTTCTTCCCCCATTTTCCGTCTCGTTTCTTGGGGTCCCCTCAGTGACGCCCACTCCTCGTTGCAGATGGAAGGGAAGATTCCAGAGGTCGCATTTCTTAAATTAACGTTGGAGATCCCCTCCCCGAGCCCACTTCCCATGTTCGATTCCCGTCCATCACCGTCAAATTTTGTAAATAAGTCGATCGATTATTGATTATTAATTTCGATTTTTTTCGGGGAGCAGAAACTGATTGGCTGAGGCGAGACTGGAGCCGCAGCCGACTGGCTCAGCCGCTATGTGGAAGCTGATTGGCTGCGGCTCCTCTTTCGCGGCAGCCGATTGGCTGATGAGCTGCGTGACCCGGAAGTGACCGGAGGCGCTGCCCGTCATGGCGGCGCGGGCGGCGCTGGAGGCCGCGGCCGTGTCCCGGGACGTGGTTCTGTTCCAGCACGACCGCAGCCGCTTCTTCCGCCTGGTGGGGCTTTTCTGCGCGGGACAGGGGCTCTTCTGGGCCTACCTGGCGCATTTCGCCTTCACATCGCTGCGCCCCACGCCCGGGACCGGGCCCGGACACGACGATCCGCTGCGACCCCGCGACAACAAGTGGCGCTTTGGGTTCACGGCGTCCTGCCTCACCGTCGGTACCGGGGGAGCGGGGCCGGGGTCGGAACGAGCTCGGGGTGGCGGGAGCGGGACCGGGGATAACCGGGGTCACCCCGGGGTCGGAGAAGCGGGAGCGGAGCCGGAGCGGGCTCGCGGAGCGGGGGCACACTGGTGGCAGGGGAAGGTACCGGGGCTCGCACTGGGTCCGGGGAAGCCGGAGTGAGATCAGACCGTACTCAGGGTGGTGGAACCGGGATCAAACCGGGCTAGGGGGAGCGGGACCGGACCGAGAACAGGGCCAGGCCAGCGTCCTGGGGCTCACAGCAGGCTCAGGGCAGCGGGAGCGGATCCCGGGAGGCCCCTGGGCCTGTCCCGTCCCCCCCTGACCGCCGTGTCCCCCCAGGCTCGCTGGTCGTGGCCGCGGGCTGGCTGCTCCCGCTGCGCTCGGTGCGCCGGGTGACGCTGCTGCGGGGCGGCACCGAGGTGGCCATCGGCACCCACGGCCCGCTCGGCTTCGGCCACCGGACCCTGACCGTGCCCCTCCGGGACGTGTCCGGCCGCGCGCACCGGACCGAGGTGGCCGCCGCCATCCCCATCAAGGTCAAGGGACGCCCGTTCTTCTTCCTGCTGGACAAGGGGGGGCAGCTCAGCGACCCCCGGCTCTTCGATGTCACCGTGGGAGCTTTCCGCAAGTTCTAGGCTGGGACAAGGTGGGGACACGGTAAACGTTGTCACCTGGTGTCATCTGCGGATGGACAGTGAGACACCCTCAGGAGTTTGGACACGAGGGCACAGCGGGATTGTCACTTGTCATCCCCAAAATAAAATGTGAAAAACCTGCCCGGTTCTCTTTGGAAGGGGATTTTTGGGGGGACCTTACCTTGCGATATTGGGATTGTCACTTTTTGTCACCCCTCAATGAACGGTGAGTTCCCCACTGGACTCTGGAGGGGGGAATTGAGGGGACGCTGGGATTGTCACCCCTTGGCACGCCACAAACCGTGCGACCTCTCTTGTTTTGGGGGAGGAATTTGGGGGAACCCCCAGCCAGCCCCACTGTGGGACAGCGGCAGTGTCAGCCCTTATCACCCTCGCAGTAAACCCTGAGACACTCACATGCTCTGGGGGAGGAAGGGGGGAATTGGGAGCCCCAGTATTCCCCCCCACACCCAGGACAGGTTTTGGGGCACTTGGAGCCGTTTCAGGCTGTTCTGGGGAGTATTTGGGGGTTTTGAGGGGTCCTGCATTCCCCCTTCCCCGGCTCTTCAGAGTCGGGTGGGAAGATGAGACCCCAATGGGGACAACGGCGGGGACGGGGCTGGGGGAACGCAAATTAACATCATTACATGAGGGGCGGAGCTTGTGGGTGCAAGGGGCGGGGTAAGGAATCAGTGTAGAGGAGGCGGATCGTATGCAAATGAAGAGGCGCGATCGGCCAATCACGTTGCGAGGCGGGAAAAGGCGGAGGGCGGGGGTTACAACTAAAGCCCGGCTGCTTATCTGCATAAGGAGGCGGGGCCATGCAAAATAGAAACAGCGGCAGGGCAAGGTGCATGTTGGGAAGATATTTCTTCGGGAATTTCGGGGTTTAGGGGAGTCCGCTCATAGGGAAAGGGAACGGGAGGTGCGGGACGATACGCGGAAAAGTACCAGAAACGGTTCAGGAAGGGGCGGAGGGCGGCGCGGGAGTGACCGTGATGTGTGAGCGGGGCGAGCGGCGGTGGGTGCGGGGCGCGTCAGTGGTCGGCATCGCTTCTCGGCCTTTTGGCTAAGATCAAGTGTAGTATCTGTTCTTATCAGTTTAATATCTGATACGTCCTCGATGAGAGGACTTCATATTAAACGGATTTTTGGGCTCGGGAGTTGGACCCGGAGCTTGCTCCCTCCGCTCCGCGCATCGTCCCGGTATTGCAGTGCCTCCGGGAACGGTGCACCCCCACCACGGGGGACTTAATATGGTCAAAAACAGTTCTCAGTATTTTTTTATTATTATTCAAGGAGCGCTCCAATTTCATTTACCTGGGGCTTTACTGCTTCAATGCTCTTATTCGTTATTAATGTGGTCCTCCGGGCTACGTCAGGCGGCCGAGTCAGTAGGTTATGGGTCTTCCCTGGCATCCCCTCACAGCGAGCTGCAAAATGGCGGCTCCCTCCCCGCGTCCCCTCCTATGTTTTTAAGGTTAAACTCCGTCACTTTGGCGCTTCCTGGGTGAAACTGGAGTTTTATGTAGAGAATAATAAATATTAATAAAGGCATGTGTGAGGGGTTTGAAGGGCTTTATTAAATAAATCCGAGAGGGGAATTAGGAACAGCGATGGGGGGGGGGACGGGACCATGCGCGTTTCCTGAAAGGAACGCAGCCCAATCTCCGCCTCCGCGCTTCTTTCGCGTCCGCTCCGAATTTCAAACAAATCCTATTTATTTTCTGTATTTTACAAATTTTTAACCCTTTATCCTCTTCCTTCCCACCTGCGAGGCGCGCGCTTTCCCCCCTTCCTCCACCGAAACAAAATGGCGGCGGCGCGGCGGGCGGGAAACCGCGCGTGAGGAGAGCGCCCCCTTCGCCCTCATCCACCAATAGGAGCGCGGGTTTTCGCCGTCGCTGGGCAGAACAGCGCGGTCGGGACCAATCAGAAAATCCGAGCGACGGGCGCGAGCCGCGCGCGCGGGGAGGGAAGGAAAGGAAGAGGCGAAGCCGCCGCCACACTCGCGGCGGCCGTTGCGCACGTAGGTGGGGCTGAGGGGGAGGGGAAGAGAAGGAACAGCGCCTGCGCGCGGTTTGGGAGCGCCACTCCGCGCTTGCGCTGCGCCTGCGCGCTGCCGCGGCGCGGGCGGGGTTTGCACTGGCGCGCAGGCGCGGCGCATGCGCGGGAAGGGCGGCGCGCGGCGCGCGGGGGGGCGCGGCTGAGGGGCGGCGGCGGCGCAGGCGCGGCTGAGGCGGCGGCGGCGGGAGCGGGACGGGCCCGGCGATCGCTCCGCGCTCCGGCCGCCCCCTCCCCGCGCCAGCGGCGGCGGCCCCGCCTCGCGCTCTCGCTCTCTTCTCCCCTTCTCCCCCCCCCCCCGTCCCTTCTCCGCCCCCTTCCTTCCGCCCCTTCCCTCCCTCAGTCCCCGCCCCGCGGCCTCAGGGCCCGGCCCGGCCTCGCGCTCCGGCCTCGGCGCCGCCGCCTCAGCGCGCCCGCGCTTCCGCTTCCCTTCCCCCCCCGCCCCGCGGCCCCTTCCCCCCCTCCCTCCCCACACACCGGCCCCGCCATGGACGTGAAGCGGCTGAAGGTGACCGAGCTGCGGGCTGAGCTGGGCCGGCGCGGCCTGGACGCCCGCGGGCTGAAGGTGGAGCTGGCGCAGCGGCTGCAGGAGGCCCTGGACGCCGAGATGTTGGCGGCGGGGCCCGAGGAAGGCGGCGGCGGCGGCGGCGGGGGAGGCCCGGCCGCGGCGGCCTCGAGCTGCGCGGGGGAAGCGGGGCCGGCGGGAGGCCCGGTCGGGCGGCCCCACGGAGGGGAGGAGGAGGAGGAGGAGGAGGAGGAAGAGGAGGAGGAGGAGGAAGAGGAGGAGGAGGAGGATGAGGAAGCGCTGCTGGCGGATGAGGACGAAGCGGCCGCCGCGGCCCCCGAGGCGGCCCCGGCCCAGCCCGGCCCCCCCGGGGAGGAGGAGGAGGAGGAGGAGGAGGAAGAGGAGGCGGCCCCGGCCGAGCCCGCGGCGTCGGAGCCGCTGCAGCCGCCTCAGGAGGAGGGAGCGGCGGCCGCGGCCGAGGCTGAAGCGGCCGAGGGAGGAGCAGGCGGCGGCGGCGGCGGCGTGAACGGGGCCGAGCGGCCGCCGGAGGAGGCGCCCAGCGGGGATGAAGCGGCAGCGGCCGAGGCCAAAGAGGAGGAGGCGCAGGCGGGTGAGCGATGGGGGAGAAACGGGAGGGACTCCTGGGACCGGGAAAAGAATCCCGAGATCCCGGCCGGGATCCTGAAAATTGGGAAAGACCCTCCAGGCCCTCGGGAGGGATCCCCAGAACCGGGAAAGGGCCTCCAGATCCTCAGGAAAGGTCCCAAAAACCGGGAGAGAACTCCCAGGTCTTTTGGAGGGAGCCGCGGAATCGGGGGAAAAAAACCTTGAGATGCTCGGGAGGGATCCAAAACAACGGGGGAAAAAAATGGGAAAGGGTTCCTGGACCCTCGGGAAGGGATCCAAAAAACCGGGAAAAGAACTGGGATAGAATCTCCGCATTTTCGGGAGGGATCTCAAAAACTGGGAGAGAATCCCCAGAGCCTCGCGAGAGATTCCAAGAAACGGGGGAAAATCGTCCCAGAAACGGGGGAAAAAATCCAGAAACCGGGAAAAGAACCGAGTCAGAACCTCGGGATCCTCGGGAAGGATCCCAAAAACCGGGAACAAAAGCCCAAAATCGGGAAAAGAATCCCTGGATCCTCCTCCTTGCTTCTTCCCCCTCACAAAATTCCCATTTTCCCCTCAAAATCCCAATCTCGGCCTCATCCCAACGCCCCCATTCCCAAATTCTGGGGGGAGGATCCCGAAGATTTTCTGGGGGGATTTATTTAGTTTTTAAAGGCTCAGAAATTCCGTTAAAATCCTATTCCCGATCGGGAAAATCGGGATTTTTTGGGGGAAAAATGGGAAAAAGTTGAGTTCAGAGTTTTTTTGGAGCCGCGGGTTGAGGGGAAATCAATGGAATTCCTGGAATTAAGGAACTTCAGGTTGGATTTTGGGAAAAGAGCCCGGGATTGGAGGGAAAATCGGGAAAAATTCCAGGTTTTCAAGGAAAAAAATCTGAGATTTGGGGGGAAATTCGGGTTTTGCAGGGAAAGCTCCTGATTTTTATCCATTTTGGATGGATAATTCCCAGTTTTGAGGAGAAATGTCTGGAACCGGGAGAAATTGTCCTGGTGGAAAGCGTTGGGGAAATTGGAGATTTTTTTTTCGAGGAGAAATCTCTGTGTTTGGGGAAAATTTGGGGACTTAGAGGGAAAAATCCTGAATTTTGAGGGAAAAATACTGATTTTTGATGGGAAAAATTCTGTTTTCTGAGGAAAATCCTGGGTTTTGATGGAAAATGTTGTTTTCTGAAGGAAAGTCCTGATTTTTGAGGGGTAAAAAACCCCTTATTTTGAGGGAAAAATTCTGATTTTGGGTGGATTTCTGGAGCCTGGATCACCATGGAACAGAATTTTATTTGGATTGAAGTGAAGTTATTGCCATTTTTATCCCAAACTTGAATTTATGAAAATATTTCCAGATTTTGTTGGAATTTTATGGGTTTATTGGCCAAACAAGGGAAGAATTGGGAAAATTTTGTGTTTCTTTGGGGTTTTTTTGCTGAATTTGTGAGTTTTTAAATTTGGGTTTTCCAGTTTTTAATGAACCAACGAACCTTGCTCCAGAATTTTTCCTTTTCTGTGAAAAACACCAGGAGAATTTTACATTTTTAAAGGATTTTAAGGATTTTTTGTGTCTTTTTTTACCCATTCCCACATTCCAGGTGAGAATTTCCACTTCCCAAGGTTGAATTTTGCCATTCTAAAACCCAGAAAATCCATTGAAACTCCAAGAGTTCCATGGCATACTTTAATTAATTTTTAAGGAAAAAGTTGAAATTTAAGCCACTTTTCAGCCTTCTAACAGCCAAGAAAACCCAAATTTTTCTTGGAATGTCTTGATTTAACTGATTTTTGAGGAAAAAAAACTGGAATTTTCACCCCTTTTTGCAACTGTAAAACCTCGAAGATCTATTTAAACTTCCAAGGTTTTCATGGAATGCTTTGATTAGTTGATTTTTAAGAAAAAAAAAAAAATCTGAATTTTAACCTCCAAAACCTGGAAAAGTCCTTTAAAACTCCAGGGTTTTCATGGAATTCTTTGCTTTAATTGGATTTTGAAGTAGAAAAATTGAACTTCAGCCCCGTTTTGCCACTCTAAAAGCTGGAAAATCTATAAAAACTCCCAAATTCTCAGGAATACTTTGATTTGATTTATATTGAAGGAAAAAAAAATTAGGATTTCGGCAGGTTCTTGAGCTTTTAAAGAAACCCACTCAACCATTGAAATTTCCATGGAGTATTGCTTTAGTTCCACTTCTAAAGAAAAAAAAAGCCCAAAAAATTAAAAATCGGAATTAGAACCCTTTGTTTTTTTTTTTTTCCTTGGGAAAAGCCAGAATCCTTGCCCTGTGTTTGCTTTTCCTGGGAAAATCCTGAATATTTTAGGGTGAGATCAATAAAATCCCAGGGTGTTTTAGGGTGGGATCAATGAAATCTCAAGATGTTTTAGGGTGG